TTAGAGGCACATCTGGCTCCCAGGCCTGGAGGATGCATGAGGCTCTGCTCAGTCCATCTGGGCTGCTGGGGGGTGGTTTGTGTGTGTGTGTGTGTGTGTGTGTGTGTGTGTGTGTCCTCAAGTCTCCCTGGGAGAAGGCTACTTTTTTTAAAGTCAGCTAAGCAACTGTGAGGATTTAGTCTATCTTCACTGAGGGAAGCCACAAAACAACTTCCTTAGGTTCTGACCTGCATACTGAAGACAGGCAGATTGGGGCTGGGCACATTTACCGGGTGAGGAGTTTCATGAATATGGTTTATGCCTAGGCTATTAGCCAGATTCTTCAGGAGTTTTCGATGGGAATGTGGACTGAGCCCTGGGAATCACTCCTGTCCAGAGATGCTGGAAGCACACGAAAGACTGGCTGAAGTCAGCTGTGCAGGCTGCAGGCATCTCTTGTTCCAAGGGGAAGTTGTTAGAGCTGTCTGGTGCCTAAAACCTCCGAGCTAAACAATGGGGCTTGGAGGCGTGCCACGTACCAGGCGTGGACAGTGGGGTTTCCTTGCGGGCAACACGTGCTCTACAGAGGCAGGGGCAGGCGCACATGGTGATTCCTGACCTGAGGAAGGTACTTCAAAAGCAAAAGAACGCGGTTCCAGAGGGACCACAAGGAGAGAAATGGCGCTCTAAGGTCCCACTAGGCTTGGGGAATTTACCCTCGCGAGGGTTCCGCAACCACGCGCCTGGGGTGCCCGCCAGCATTCAGATCATCGCGCCGGAGCCCAGGCTCGCAAAGCTGAGGTCCTCGCCTGTGCCTGGCATTCGCACAAGGGCTATGACACCTCACAGACACCGGCCGGGGTCCCGCACCCACCCCACTGCTCCTATGAATCCCAAAGACCTCTGCCGGTCTTCCACCCAGCGGACCCCGCATGCGCTTTCCACTCACTCCACGGGCTCTAGGCACGTCGCAAACCTTGCCCAGAGCTACTCAGTACCCCCAGGGATCCTCTGGCCCCCTGTCGTGTAGAACTCAGCCAGAGCCCCGCTTTCATCGCTAGGATGCCTGAAAGACCAGAACCGCGCCTTGCACTAGCCCGTTGCTTCCCAGGCACTCAGAATCGATCCATGTCCCCAACACTACACCCCATAGGCCCGTACCTGGTTCAACTAGCAGCGGCGGTCTGGATCGCGCACACGCGCACTACAACACCCACAAACCCGCGCAGAGGCCCAAGAGCACCATGGAGAGGCGTGACTACCTAAACTGACCACGCCCCGAAGGAGGGGCCAACGTGGTGGGCCGGAAGCGCAGCCGCGGGACTACTAGGGGGGCGGAGCAAACACCTGGTCACACCCGCAGCTACGCCCACAATAGACTTGTGCATGCGCCCTCCACACTTTGCGATTAGTTACCGCCTACATCACGTGGTTCCCTGAGGCGTGGGCGACCCGGGGCGCATCTGCCAGTCTCCACGCTCCGTCCCTACATCTCTAGACTCCTTTCCCCTTCAGTACGCTCTCTCTGCGTCCCCGCTCCTGTGCTTCCTCCCTACGCCACCCCTCTCCGTTCCCCGCCCCCCTCTACCAGACTGCTCTTCACCCGATCCCTCGGCGCCGCAGCTCGCCTGGCCGGCCTGAGCTCCGTAACGAGTCCCTTACCCGGCTGGACTGGGTCGTGCCTCACAGCCGACTGCCTGGTCTGATCGAGCGCAGAGGACAGAGGTGACTGCCGGGCCTAGGACCGAGGCCCCTCCCCGGACCCGCCCCTGACCCTGCAGGCGCGCAGAAGTCTGCTCGGGCTCTTTCAGGCTCGTCTGAAAACCCGTGCCCCGAGCCCACCTGCTAAAGCAGTCCAGGAACTAGGGCATTGGCTAGCCACGGACTGCGGGCTAGAGTTGCGCTGCTTGCACCAGCTGTGCATGCCCCTCGTTTGTGTATCAGCGTCTTTGGGTCCCGAAGGCACCGGTGGATTGTGTTTTGCTGTGCAGGGAGACCCCAGGCCCCAGGCACGGAGCATCTGTCGCGTGCGCGCGCGGACACACACCATCTATCAGCCAGACCCTGCTAACAGGGACAGAAGGCTGGCCTGACTGTTTTAGGCCACCCACCTCACACCTACCCCCATCCTCTAACATCCCCCCCCCCACCCGCGAACCCGTTTCCAGCAGGGATGCTAAGCTAATGCTCAGTAGGTGGAAGGCCGCAGCCAGCTTGGGGTGAGGAAGGAGGGGGCGGGGATCCCCGAAGCCAGCCTCTTTCCTGATGGGCTTTGGTGGAGTACTTGTGCAGGGCAGGGGTCACTGCCCAAAGCACATTAGGAGCAAAGTAGAACAAACGGGGAGGGGCCTGGGTCCAAAGGGGAATGACTGACCGGCAACCTTGGTCCAACACCTGAGTCCTTGTGATTAGATAGCACAGGGACACATCTCAAATTATTTGCAAGTGATGGGCAGGTAGCTTGAAGAATTTCAGGGAGAGCTGGAGAACTCCCATATCTGCTTGTATCTGTTGTCTGTACCCTCAGGCCACTACTTACAGCCTGGAGGACAAGGCCTCAGAGCACCTGTCCTGAGTAAGTGGCAAAGAGGAGCCTGTAAGACAAAAGAGGAGCAAATGGACAAGGTGGAGGATGGGGAAGTGTGACCATCTGGGTGCCAGACAGGTCTGTGCCCTCGTAGAGCTCGGTGAGAAGCACCCTACCCACAGGATCGGGTGGTGGTACCCAATCCACACGACCCATATGTCATGGAGGGGTAGGCACCCGGACAAGCTCAGCATGTACTCCAGGATACTGGGCTCCCTTCAGCCCTGTCTCTCACTGTGTTAGGATTCCTGAAGGAGCTGTTCCTTGGGGTGGACTAGGGGTAGAATGGCCCCTGTATCATTTGGAGACAACCACTTAGGGAAGAATAAGGAGGCTTCCAGAATGCTCCCTAAGATACCAGATGCTGGCACCAGGAAGGCTCCACAAGCCCAGCACAGTTAGTTTTGGGAATGGATCAAGTGCTTTGGGGAATGGTTTCTTGGATATACAGTAATCTACCATTTATTTAAGTGCTGGTATAAGCAAGGTAAATGCCTTCTGTCTGGGCCATGAGGGTGAAGGCTGGGACCCATGATGGTGCCATGTGCTGGAAGGGTCAGGATGAGCCAGGAGCCAAGCCCCAACCTCAGCAGCTTCTAGCTTCCAGTCACAGTTGTCATGGCAAGGTCTGAAGTTTGCAGACCCACAGACATCTGGAGGAGCGTGGGTGGGCTCTGCAGCTCAATCCCATATGGTATCAAACCCTTGTAGAGGGTTTGCTCCCTAACAACAGCATTATTACCCCCAGAGAACAAGTTCCTTGCCCATTTAGCATCATCTAAAACCAGTCTGCCAACGCCGTATCTTTCCAACTCATTTCCCAGCAGGTCTGTGAGAGGCAAGGCTGCCTGGTGAGATCTGGGCTCTGAGGTTAGGAGCAAGCAGTCCACCTCATCCTTAGGAATGCCTCCGGGAAGCCCTTTAGCCCCAGACCTCCTCCCAGTGAGACAGAGTGGCACTTCTGCTGTGCAGGAGAGTTTGAAGAATGAGATGGGCACTTGGTACTGTCCTTGCCCCTGACTGGCAGGGCTCATGAGGGAAAGAAACCCACCTGTCACTTCCTCCCACAGTCCAGGCTCACTTTAAAGTACTCGGGGCTCACCTTGGGCAGATCCAGGAAGAGAAAGAACAGAACAGGGTTACCCTGCCATGCCCACTCCAGCCAGGGAACCCAGCAACCATGCTCACTGTTAATGGTCCCAAAGTCCATAATGTTCCAGACCAAGGACCTGGCCCCTGGGGCCAGCCTAGCCTTTGCCCAGCTCCAGAAAAGCCAGGCCTCACATCTCCATAGCATCAGGGCCAGGTCAAGATCTATTGGGATGACTGCTCTCCAAGAACCCACCTTCCTAGACTAGCAAGCAGCAAAATGTATCCCACACACAGTGGAAATCTAGGTGTGTACTGGTAGGAAAGGCCATTCCTCCCAGTCTGAATCATGGCCTTCCCTTTATGTCAACTTGACACAAGCTAAAGTCATCGGAGAGGAGGGAGCCCCAATTGAGAAAATGACCATAAGATCTGGCTGGGGGGATTTTCTTAATTAGTGACTTGTGAGGAGAGCTCAGCCCATTGTGGGTAGTTCTATCCTTGAGCAGGTGGTCCTGGGTTCTATAAGAAAGCAGGCTGAGCAAGCCACGAGGAGCAAGCCAGTAAGCAGCACCCCTCCATGGCCTCTGCATCAGCTCCTGCCTCCAGGATCCTGCCCTGCTTGAGTTCCTGTTCTGACTTCCTTTGGTGATGAACAGTGCTGTGGAAGTGTGAGCCAGATAAAGCCTTTGATGGTGTTTCATCACAGCAATAGTAACCCTAACTAGGACAAATTGGTACCAGGATACTGGGGTATTGCTGTGACAGACCTGACCATGTTGTTTTTGGGAGGATTATGGAAGGACTTTGGAACTGGGTTAGAAAAGCCATTGAGTGTTAAAAGCTCAGTGAGATGTTCTGAGGGAGCTTGGAAGAAAAGAATGATGATGGAGGCCTGGCCTGTGAATTTTCAGAGGAAGCAAAGACTCTACCATGCCTTTTGTGTGAAGAACCTGTGGCTCTGGTCTACTGGAGCTGAAGAATCAGCTGTGATTAACAAGAGACCAGAACCGCTGAGGTTGAGTCTTCTGGGAAGTGTTTCCTAGGAGTCAGCACACAGAACTATGTTCCAGAGGTGGCCAAGGTTGCCCCTTGTGCTGGCTGTCAAACTTGGTAGTGTACGAGTCACCCAGGTGGTGCTGGTTTTGAAGGTGTGAAGGGGTCATGGAGAGCCCTGAAGCTTGGCACTGTGTGGCAGGGCTGGAGTCCCTGAAGAGAGCCCAGGAGAGGCCATTGGTGAACATGCAGCCCAGTGGCAGCAGAAGACCCCAGCATTTTGGAGATGCCAGTGCCACGGGATGACCACCAAGGACAGCAGCAGTGGGTGCGTGGAGCCAAGACAAGCTGTGTGTGCTGCAGAGGGCAGAGCCAGGGAAGTGACCTTTTGGAGGAGCCCAGAAGACGGTGAGTAAGTCCCAGACATTGGACATTGAGTCACTTACACTGTCGGAGTTTGGTTTTGCTTTGAGTTGATTGTGTTCTTCCCTCTTGAAGTGAGAAAGTATTTCGTTTTTATTTTACAGAAGCCCTTAGTGCCAAAGGGCAGCCAAATGGCCTTTAGCCAGTGGAGAAGAGGATCATGGGAGGAGTTGGGCCCCGTATAGGATCGGGGGCAATGGTCAGTTTGAAGCATATTCAGTGAAGGGGGAAGGGAGCTAAGATGACCATCCAACCTTGGCGAAGTGAACCCTGGGCCTAAAGTGGATAGTCAAGGGAGGGGTATATGGAAAAAGAGAGAAAGAACAGAGGGGGGTGGGCGGGCTCTGGGAAGCATCCACAGCACACTGTAGAACACTTGGGGCCTGGTGCTGTGTCCTAGAGGAACCATCCCAGTGGCCAGGATGACTCCTGAATGCCTTAAAGGCAGCGAGATGTGGCTCTCCATTCTCCACAGCCCCTGCTTCAGCGACACGTGGCTGCTGAAGCAAGGCTTAAACCAGCACGTGGACATGGACACACAGTCCATGGGCCTAGTATGTATGGCCCTTTTATGAGCACTGACATGGGCATGGGGGCAGGAGAACAGGCAGCTGTTCCCTGCCTGGGAGCCCTACGGTCCCTTCCAGGTCAGTGAGAGCCTCAGGGCAGTATTTGAGAGGCCGTGGTGGAACAGAGGCTCCCAGGCTCAGCTAGGAGGTTCTGCTTCCCTACCCTGGGCAGGTCACCTCAAACCTGTCCCCGTGGATGCTGTCTCTCTTCCCCAGGATTCTCAGAATGGTTCTGAGTGGGCACCGCAGGAGTCCTCTGCCCACTCCCAATCCTTAGGTCCCTCTAGGTAGCCTCCTTTCCAGCATAGGTCTGGATGCTTCCAGTGGGAAGGAAAGGCGTATGCTAGACCCCGTCAGCAAGGAAGTAGGGTATAGCAGGCAGAATGGTGAAGGGCACACACACACACACACACACACACATCTCTGAAGTCCCGAAAGGTGATGGCTGGGGCCCTTCTTGCCCTGGACCCTCAGCACAGCCAGTGTCCTGTATCACTGCAGGTTTTAGCAGCCGGGCTGGCCTGAACAGTCCTTTCCTCCACCCTTTTCCTAGACATCGATCTTTCATCTCACTTGTGGCCAGTAGCTACCCAGGGAGAAAATGAGAGGGAGATAAAGTGGTCACGTCTTTTCAGAGTTCAGCCCCGCCCCTCTGGTCAGGTCGTCAGGCATACTTCTGAAAATTTGTGATGTGTGTGTTTCTCCTGTTAGCATCCCTTGCTCCCTTTCCTTATTCTGTGGGTGCCTGGGCTCAGGCACTTCTTTGTTTATTTGTTTTGTTTTTCCAGACAAGGTTTCTCTGTGTAACAGTCCTGGCTGTCCAGATTAGTCTTGAACTCACAGAGATCCTCCTGCCTCTGCCTCCCAAGTGCTGGGATTAAAGGTATATACCACCATGCCTAGGTTAGGCACTTGAAATGCTGAGGAGTTGGTTTCTGCTGGATCAGTCTTGTACTTCTCAGAGCCACCTGGGCTGGGAGGGGTTAACTGGGAACAAGCAAACCATTAGCATCGAGTCCACACTGGGCTGTTCATAACACGTACTCCCTGACCCCTTTTTACAACGTGCAGTTCAAGTGTGTCTTCAAAACACAGAATATGAAGGTGCCCACATCCATCCCATCATCCCCTATGAGAATGGGATGGTTTATTCTGAGCCAATATGAGGGACCATGGCTCAGGAATGCAGATTCAGACTCCTGAATAACATGTTCCAACACAGAAGCAGTTGCATGCATGTTTATGCTCACAGAACAAAAGAAAGTCATACATCAAGGCATTTTCCAGACACATTGCTGGAAACATCAGGTCGGTAGGGTACAGAAAAGCAGGGGAGTCGCTGCTGTAGGCTGTCTGATGACGTTCTTAGCCATGGGGTTGGCAGAGGCTGTTAATATATTCCAAAGGGGAATCCAATGGAAGACGGGGAGGAAGGCTTGTAGGAACCAGAAGGGTCAAGGACACCACAAGAAAACCCACAGAATCAACTAGCCTGGGCTCAGAGGGGGCTCAGAGACCTGAACAACCAACTAGGCCTGCATGGGACTGACCTAGGCTCTTTGCAAATATGTGACAGTTGTGTAGCTTGGTCCTCTTGTGGGACTCCTAACAGTGGGGACAGAGGCTGTCTCTGACTCTTTTACTGACTTTTGGGACCCCTTTCTTCATATTGGGTTGCCTCATCCAGTCTTAATACTAGGGGAGCTGTCTAGTGTTACTGTAACTTGATATACCATGTTTGGCTGATATTCATGGGAGAAGGAGTAGATGGGGGGGGCATTGGTGTAGAGAGGAGGTTGGGGGAGGGGCTTGGAGAAGAGGAGGGAGGAGAAACGGTGGTTGCAATGTAAATAAATACACGCCATTTTATATATATCTATTCCAAAGGTTTTACTTAATAATCTAAAGGGCGTTGGGTCAGACACAGCCCAGGGTAGTGACTGCTATTTAGGAGACTAAACATAGCCCAAGATAAACTGGCTCTGGTTGTGCATCCTGGCACTTCACAACATTAAAGCTGTAATCCGTGGGTCAGTCTTGTGAAATCTTCAACACAAGCACGTGGAATTTCTTTGCTTTTCTGAAAACTAAAGTTCACAGTGAAAAAAATTCTAATAAATCTATTGGTAATCCTGGCACTCAGGAAGTAGAGACAAAAGGATCAAAAGTTCATGGTCAAGAAACAAACAGACACACACACACACACACACACACAAAAAAAAAAAAAAAAAACCCTAAATGCTGGGCATGGTAGTGCATACCTTTAATGCCAGCACGCAGGAAGCAGAGGCAGGTGGATCTCTGTGAGTTGGATGCCAGTCTGGTCTATAGAGTCAGTTACAGGAGAGCCAGGGCTATGTAAAGAGACCCTGTCTCAAACAAACAAACCAGCAAAAAAGTTTACATTCAACCTCAGCTACATAGTGATTTCAAGGACAGCCTAGAGTTACATGAAACTGTCTTAAAAAAAAAAAAAGGCACCTAAAGACCACAGGACAAGAAGGGTGTTTGTAAAGGCCTGACTCTCAGGAAAAGTGTCTCCATGAGGGAAGATGGTCTTGAGAAGTCAAGGAGTTCAAGAACAAGTAAGGTCCCTGTGAGAACAGAGTGAATGCCAGGAATTTGGGAGCTCCATGGCAGGAGCTTGCCCAGCGTGCCGGATGCCATACCCAGCCTGTGGGGAAAAGCAATGCATCTGTATTTAGAGCTTCAAGTGGGTCACGTACCGAAATGAGAAGATAGCGCCATTTCCATTTGCTCCTTTGAGCTTCAATTCCCTAGCCAATTTCTTGGGCTTGCCTGCTGCCGGCAGCTGGTGGCTGAGGACTGGAAAGCTTGCATGTGGCCTGTTTCCATCATCACAAGAAGTCCTCTGGTGGTCCATGTGTCACCTTACCACTGAATAGAAGTCCTGAGAGGTTTATCTTGGGTGACAGCCACTTGGCCCTATCACTTTGGGCCTGTTGCCAGGCAGAGAATCATGACAGGAACAGCACACCAGCTCATCTTACAGCCAGGAAACAAAAGGATCCAGAAAAAGTCTGGATCTTATAGTCCCCTTCAAGGCCGTATACTCAGTGACCTAAAGACTCCCCATTTGGTCCCATCCTTTAAGAGTACCATCACCTTTCTGTACTACCACACTGGGAACAAGGCCTTCAACACATGGGCCTTCAACATCCCAACTATTGTGCTAAGTTCTGGGATGAAAATGGAGACCTCATCTCCCCAAACAGAATGCTAAGGGCAAGAGTCCACCCTTTAGGCAGGCATTCAGAATCCAGGAAGCGAAGTCTCCAAAAGGAAGAATTCTCAGCCCAGACATCAAAGGGTACCATTAGATGACCAACAAAGCAAGCCACACCTGGGAGAAAATATCCACACAGGCCGTGTATTCAGAATACATAAACAGCCCTCATAGCTCAAGACTAAGAAGACGAGATGCCCGGTTCTTAAAATATGAAAGAGCTGTGCCAGCAGGTGGGAATAAAAACACTTGTTACCAAACCTGACAGCCTGAGCTCAATTCCTGGGACCCGTATAGTGGAAGGAGAAAACTGGCTATGGCAAATTGTCTGCTGACCTTCACGGGTGTGTTGTGGCAAGCACGTGTGCGTGCGTGCGTGCGTGCGTGCGTGTGCACACGCACACACACACACACACACACACACACACACTACACAAATATAATAAAAACTAATAGATTATGCAGGATCTGAACAGATGAGTACTGAGCATGTGAAAATATGTCTGATAACATTGTCATTCATCACCAAACAGTGGGGCCCCACAGCATGCCCTCAAAAAGGGCTAATATTTAAAATCAGACGATGCTAAGTGCTGACTGGGTGACTCCTCAGAGTTACAGGAATGCTGCGTCTTGGTGACAGGATGCCCAGAACAAGAGTCCCTCCTGTGTGTGGTGTCCAGGGGCAAGGCTCTGTTCTGACAGGAAGACTGTGGCTAGCAGAGGATACAGGGGAGGCCTGGGCTCTTGGGTTAAGTGGGAACTCACTCTGACGGGCAGAATGTGAAGGGCATGTTCATTAGTCACAGCCGCTTTAATCACACAACTGTGTATGTGGTTCTTGCCTGTAAATTGCACCTCAATAAAATTGATTTTTCTATTCTGTTGTACATGGGCGAAAGGCCTGGGGTGGGGGCAGATTGCAAGCTCCTCCCTGCCCTACTGGGATTCAGGCCAACCCAGCTATGAAGGAGACAGCGGCAAGAAGCGGGGCCCTGGGAGACCATGGTTGGTAGGGAAAGTGGCCAGCTGGACAGTGGTACTCTGGCCTTTGGGCACAGGCGGGGACACAATGTCCTAGAGCCAAGACGTAGGGGTCAGGTCTGGTCTGGTTTAGCCACACAGATTTCCACATGAATAATAAAACTAAGGAACACTTAACGATTAACTTTCTTCAGAGGGTTCTCAGATGAGGTGCATCAGTATGTGTGATGTGCTCTCATGGCCATTAGTCTAGTAACAGGGTGCTGGTTTTGTTTGATTTCCTCGGGTACATGACTCCATTAGAAGAATAAATAAAAATATTTTTCAGTGCTATGATCTTTTTCTCTGTGCTCACATGCATGTATGAATGTGTTTCTTCTCATACACTGGCAGATGTTGACATTTGGGTATCTTTATCTCTCTTCACCTTTTAAAAGAAATTGTGTGTGTGTGTGTGTGTGTGTGTGTGTGT